ATAATAAGGAGATTCTGGTATCTGGAAAATTGCGACAGTGTAGAAGGACGTGTTTGATAGTTAGAGCTTCTCCGCAGGTTATACATTGGGCAGGATCTTCGTGTGTAAGCTTGTGTGTAATCATGAGTAAGCAACGTATGCCCGATTCTAAGTCTGTTAATAATTATGACTTAATGTCGTCTCTTGGTAGTGAGTGTTGGCCAAGGGTGGATAGAAGGTTTGATTTCGTTCAATTTTGTGTGTGATGATGTCCAACGATGTTGCCACTGTTGCGGTGTCAGGGACTGTATTATTCCCTTAATATTTCCCAGGGAATAAATTTGCACTAAAAAGGCTTTAGGGGAGGTTATAGCTCTTTTAGTGTAGGTATCTGCTGTTTAGTTGCCGGGGATTCCGGTATGGCTAGGAATCTATAGCAGCGTGACGTTTTGATTTTTGTGATTTAGAAGAGAAATTATTGGGTACGTATAATTGAGTTTTTCATTGGAAATTCAGTTGGCAACACTTAAATGGATAATAGCAATTGCTATTTCAAGTCTAATGTTTTTCTTTAACATGATTACAACAATTCATTTTTATTTCTTGTTGACGACAATTAGCTTAACTAATATTTCTATTTATTTACATTGTATAGTGCTCGCAACACAAGACTAACACAGCGTGCTACAACTAAGCGAGATGTCGCTGCAAGTCACATTCGTCGTCTACATGCTTCAGCAACAGCAGCAGTAAATGATCCACCATTGATGAATCTATATAGTCATGACGAAATAAGAAGGTATGATCACAATAAGCCGAATTTCGTTCAGTCAACGCAGAATAGGGTGGGAGTCATCCTCGTCATTTGATTGGCTTATATTTGTCGCACGTTTTATGAGTTAATAATATACATGTATAATATTATTTTATCAAGGACCAATGAAAAACCGAGGAAGACTCCCACTCCTATACTCCTATTTCAGATAATAGAGATATAATGCGTATAACAAAATTGTGATCATACCTTGTTATTTCGTCATGAATCTAGTTACAATGGCGGTCCAAGACCTGAATAATTGGTTTCAATTAACATTAAAAATGTGATTACTTTCAACCAAATTCTCCCTTTAAATTTGACGTTTTCCGAAAATTCACTAATATTGATATAATTAAATCCCGAATAAATTATTATATTATGAATGGTCATAATTAAAAGTTATTGTATTACATAATTATATTAAAAATAATCGGTATTGGTAAAAATAGCTAACGATACGCTCTCTGGTGGCATAATCCTCAACTCGCATATTCGGAATGTATATAATTTTATATTGGTTATTTTACTTTTTATAATAAATTAATTTTGTTATCGAAACTTTATACGCTTTTATAGCTAACTGTATACGTTGGTAAGTACAATTTCTACTTATATTATCAAATACATTTAAATACACTTCACTTAATAGTTAAGACAAAATGTATGCGAAATGCCGGGAAAATGAATACAATCTCCCGACTTGACGTAGGGGGAACCGTTCTAACCATCAGTACAATAGGCGTCGACAGCGCTCCTAGTGTTAATTTGTTTTATCAATAGTAAATCACTTTCAAATACAAATAATAGAAATAAAAATAGCATTAAGAACAACAAAGAATGGCCCTCCAAAACTTTTATTTTTTTGTCTAGTGTCAATTAAGTATTATCTGCACGACGCCTATAAGCTGTGTCTGGCTGAAATTACCACCACTAACCACTTCAACCGCAGCAATTGTGTGCGGCACTTTACGGTAGCCTGGTAGTTTTACTATTAGGATTGTAGTAATGTTATCTAGCAATAAGCCAATTTACTAAAAAGTATTAATTATTATTTATTACCAATTAATTAGGTACAAAATAATAATAAATAATAATATTATTATTATGTTATCATAGTTGGTTATTGTAGATTCGGTAAATTGCAGCACCGAAAAATGGGGTCAATAGGGTCAATTTCAAAAGTTTTTTTGGCAACATCTCTTAGAGTTTTAAAGATAAATTAATTTTTTTTTTTTATAAAAAGTAAGATGTCTCCCGATATAATTTATTATAACAAATACATTCACTTTGCAGTTTTCGTTGTGCTGTTGAATTTGATAAAGTCACATTGGCAGAACCTATGTATATTTGCCATTATATTTATTAATTGTAAATTATTTTCATTGTCATTTATTTCTGGCCGATCAGATGAATTTGGATTTGTTTTTGAATAAGTACTTGTTCGAATTAGTGATGTTCTCTTTAATAAATTAATGTGATTTTCTAAAAAGATTTCAATATTTGTCGGTAATGAGGTATTTTTAAATGTCAATGTTTTTAATTTTTTTAAACTAGACTATAGACACCGATGAAGCTACTTCCTCCCCAAATCCAAAAATAGGAACCATAACTCCAGACCACAATGAAAAAAGTTTAAAATACTTTATAACTATGGGGAACATATATGGACGGTAAATGGATTTATGCCAATTCCTTCTTCTATTTAATTTTTACTTTCATTATACACTGAGTTTGTCCGAGCTTGAAATGGGTTTTCAAAATAGTTCAACCCTTCATTTTCAATTTCATATGTTTCTTCCAACATTGTTCGTACCTAGTCTCCATCTTCATTGGAAGCCAATATATTAATAAATGCATCTTAAGAATCTACAAAAACATCATTAGTTTTGAAATATAAATTTAATTCCTAAACCTGTATCTATTTATAATATTTATATTTTTTTTAAATTATAATTTTTGGTTCATAAAAAAGTAAATTAAAATTAGTAAGTTGAATTTAATTTAGAAACAATATTATGTTGCTGATGAAACGTTTGAATTATTGACCAAAGTTTCACACACATTCCATGATAATAATTTTGTTTTATTTAAAAAAAAATTATAACTTTATAATATTATAAGATTATCGGTTAAATATGTAAATGTAGGTATTTATTATTACATTGTATTATTGTCAATACAGAATACAGATTAACACTTGGAGCGCTAGTATCTGATAATGATGTCGGCTCTAGATTCAAAAATAATGATTTATGATGATTGTTATAGTTGTGTAGTGTTTGTATAATTAAAATATAATTGTTTGACATTTTTCTTTATATTGTAACTTGTACAAAGTACCTACTTAGAACGTATATTCATATTTACCAGTACAAGTTGTATACATTTACCAAGCATAGAGTACGGATTTTAAAGCAATAAAAAAACTAAATAAAAGCACTAAAAAAAAGCAATAACGCTGGCTAAATCTTCTAAAAAAGCCTTATAAATATTTTTTTTAAATATTTATTAAAAAAAAATATCAAAATTATTTATTAGTTCATTCAATTTATTTTTAAAAAAAAAGAAATTACAAAAAATGTATTTACAAGCCTGCTTCTTCGAGTTTCCTTCTTCCGCAACTATTAATCTGTAAATTAAATTTATTCTATTTAAGATATTTCATAAAAGTAAATTAAATAATAGTTATAAAATGATTTTTTTTACTTATATCATCAAAGTTGCATTGGAAAATTAAAACGTTTTTCAAATTTTCAAATAAAAATTAACATTTCAAATGTGTTTATTTAGAACCCATTTCAAAAAAATGCCCAAAAAAGCGTAAACATACAAAAAAAAAGGAAAATAAAATGTAGTTAATTTTATTTTAAGTAGTATAAATCGAAGTTGTAGCTGATACAGCTAAGTTTTACAGCAATAGAAAAAAAATCCTTCAAAATCCGTAGTCTAATAATGACTATCTGTAATAAGAAAAGTAACACTTAATGTTCCGTTTACGGTTGCTCAACATTTTATAACTCTGGATATAAGTTTTCATTCACTACCAAAAGAGAATAGTAATAAAATAAAATGGATTAATAAAAATGGAACTTCACAAATGGTCGATCGTAGACAAGCTTGGATTTTAAAACATCGTATGGATACAACAGTTTTAAAAATACTCAAATTAAAATATCTGTTTAATGATGGCAGAAGCTGATATGTACATTTTATTAATTTTCAGAAAAACGGGTTTGAAGGTTTAGAATGCAATGAAAAATACAATTTGGAATGAAATACATTCATTATAATCAATAACCTTGTATGAATTAAAGTATTAAGCCATAATACATAAATTAGTTTTTCAAAAGTTCAAAAATAAAGACATACCTATCATTTTTTGCCAAAATGTATTATTTTTGAATAATCGACGTATCAACAAATTCAAATTATAAAAGTAACCTTTTTTAAAACACGCAGTATTATAGTAAACATACAATTTTTGGAATAAATCTACATAGTATATTAAAATTAAGTAAAAACATAAAATGTATCTTTTAATTATTGATAAATAAATGAAAACAATGAAATTAGCCATTTATAAAACTTAACAATGTTACAAGTAATTATTAAAATCCCATAACATATATATATATATATATATATATCTGCACTGAAGAGGCAGAAGCTGATATCTGCCAAAATATCGATTTCGGGGTTTTTACGGTATGTGAAAGTAATAGGTCATTATTTTGTTGTGGAAAAATATGATATCAGTGGGACAATTAGTTTTATTTTTATAAGCATTATACAAATTGACTATCTACACGGAACACAGAATTTGATTGTGGCAAAATATGATAAATCATTTATCAGGTTTTGCCACAAATATTATTATGTGTCAAAACATGATAATTTCTATAAACAGCAGATATCATGTGATATTCATAACAGTAAACAAAATGCATTTTGATAGCCGATAACGATACTCTATAATAATGTAATATTATTAGTTTTATTATTTTCATTATGATATGATTTGTGTCTTGTTACTAAGTATCGTAAAGATTAAAAAAAAACTTAACCTCGAATGTACTGTATAATATTAAAAAGCATAAAATTGCTGTTGCCTACTAGATATTCTGTATTATAACATTGTTATTTTTTAATATTCCTATGACTTTCTACTCAAAAGAAGCGATTCAAAAATGGTAAAAGAACTTATATGGATAAACGTAAAAAATTAGGATTAGACTATGAAAATAGAAAAGGAAAAAAGATGTCTAAAAAACTGTTTTCCTGTTTAAACGGAATGTGCTGTAAACAAAAATGTAATGTAGTATGTTCTGAAGAAACTCAAAAACAAATATTTAAGGATTTTTATTTATTGGGTAATTCAGTTGCTCAAGACCAAGTTATCATGGATGGCATACAAATTATGGATAAAAAAAGAGCAACAAAAATCTTTCGTAGAGAAGAACCTGAAAAAACACACAATAGACAGATAACTGTTAAATACTATTTAAATCTTAACGGAAATCGACAAGAAATCTGTAAAAAAATGTTTCAAAATACATATGGTATTAGTAGAGGTAAAGTTGATGTCATGATACTTAAAAAAATGTCTTCGGCTACTGGAATTTCATCTACGACAGGAAAAGGGGCCCACAAACCTCATAATTTTAACATAGACATTAGAACAAGAATATTAAATCATATAAAAAGTTTTCCCCTTCAAGAAAGCCACTATGCCAGAAAAAGAACTAGTCGTCTATATCTTTCTTCTTCATTAAACATTAGTAAAATGTACGATTTGTATAAAGATTATTGCCATCAACATGGATTTAAAGATGAATCATCATATTGGTTGTATAGAACAGTTTTTTCAGAAACTGGTTTGAAATTCAAACTTCCATATGTTGATACTTGTAAGACTTGTGATGAGTTTAAAATAAAATCAAAACATGTATTTGATGAAGAATTACAAATTTTAAATCAGAAAAACCAAGACCATATTAACATGGTTGAATTGGCCTACAATTCAAAAAAAGAAGACAAAGTATTATTGACTACTACTCCATCTTTAAAAGTTATTGTTTTTGACTTACAACAGTGTTTGCCTACTCCTGACTTAAAAACCAATATTGTTTTTTACAAACGTCAACTCTGGACATATAATGAAACCATTAGAGACTTGAGTAAAAATGAATCTTACTGTTATATGTGGCATGAAGCCATAGCAGGAAGAGGATCAATTGAAGTAGCATCTATTTTATACAAATTTATTCAAGGCAAAATTGATAACAATATCACTCACCTTATTACTTATTCGGACACTTGTTCCGGTCAAAATCGTAATATAAACGTTGCATTAATGTTTATGTTTGCTCTTCAAAATCATCCTTCTCTTCAAATTGTAGATCAGAAATTTTTGGTGCCAGGACACACACATCTAGAATGCGATAGTGATCATTCCAGAATCGAACGTTGTAAAAAACAATCAGAGTCAACAATATCAATACCAAATGATTGGTATAATTTTGTCAGAAATGTACGAGGAAAAATACCGTTGAAAGTAATAGAAATGGAACAAATAGATTTCAAATCATTTTCTTCGTTATTATCTGGACCATTAGTAAAACGGGCTCTTGATACTGATAAAGAAAAGATAAATTGGTTAAAAATGACATGGATAAGATATGACAAAACATTTGGCATCATTCAATTTAAGTATACATTAAATAAAGAAGCTCCATTTCGCATTTTGGATCTAAGAAAAGGAGCAATAAGAACCAGAAATAGAGCTGAATTAACAAGTGGAGTATCCAACATAAGGCTTCCACAGACATACAATGGGCCATTATCTATTTATTCAGAAAAGAAGAAGGATCTAATTTCTCTACTTCCATTATTAGATCCGATATACCACCAATTTTACAAGGATTTGAAAACCAACACTAGAGCTGCTATGATACAGCAATCAGATGAAGAGTCATCATCCGAAGATTAAAATATAAGTTTTAATATTTTATGGAATAAACTTAATGTTAATTTATTAATGTTTAAAATGTATTGTAAATGTTTGAAAACTATACAAAAAATTATTATGATATTATTATTTAGTGATTTTTTTTTTTTTATAATTAAGACAATTGACAAATTATGATAATGTGAACATTCATAGTCTTTATTTTTGTGGCAATACTGGGTAAGTACTATATATAAAGTGTTTTGTTAAAATTATTAAAGGTATTTAAATTAATAAATTGATTTACCTGGTCACAAATCATTCACAATTATATTTGCTTTTAATTTAAACAAACAAAATAGTTTTATTATTTAAATCAAGGTGACAATTACTCTTTTAGTGGCTCACGTAAACGATTTATTTTTTAAAACGTTCTCCTGAAAAGTTATGATTTTGCACATATCAGCTTCTGCCTCTTCAGTGCAGATATATATATGACAAGACCACGGACTAAGATAGAATGGACTGATATCGAATGTCTTGTCAGTGTGACACAAATGTTTCTCTAGACAAGGTACCAGAGTACACTACATTCAGCGCCATCTATGGAGAAATAATCGTAACAATTATATTTTTCTATTCATTAGTCACTATTTACTTTTCTATCGTATATTATTATCACTAGATAGCGTTGAACATAGTGTACTTGTGATAGATGTGCAGTGTAGCGGGGCAGAAACATTTGGGGATCAGACCCCACCACCTCGCCGTCCCTACCGTTACCAGTCCATTCTATCTTAGTCCGTGGACAAGACACAAGATCACAAGACTAACACAGCGTGCTACAACTAAGCGAGATGCGCTGCAAGTCACATTCGTCGTCTACATGCTTCAGCAACAGAAGCAGCAAATGATCCACCATTTTTGAATCTAGTTATAATGGCGGTCCAAGACCTGAATAATTGGTGGTCACAATATTCGGTGGAAAGTGATGCGTTATTGGACTTTAGAATTGAACTGGAAGCAGTAGATCAATTTTAACCTGTATCTGATAGGGCCGTCTACACCTTAGTGGTTGAGATCAAACAATCGTCAACAATTATAAACGGGGAAACCTCAAAGATATCAAAAGATTCTCGGCCAGTTATACAGATCAGTGATTTTGCAATAATTTCTGAAGATCATCTGTCAGTTCCACAGACTGGCAACATAGCCATACTTCTATTACTCGATTCAAAATCGTAAATTATTTTTTACATTGTAACACGAGAAAGTCTAAAATTTCTTTTAAACAAAAAATATAAAATTTGAATCATTGAATTGCATGTGGTAAGCAGTCTACTAGGTCATACTTCATCATCTGTAAATTTGTGCACAACCTTTTCTACAAAATCAATGATTTTTGGTTTTGAATGGACCTAGTTATTAGAAAATAAAATGCGAAATCATTGTTCATCGTCAGAGGAGTCGGAAGATGATGATGATGATAAAATACCCGAACTCACCAATATGAAAAGTTGAGTATTATGATCCATAATAAACTTTTAAGTGTAAAATACCTATAGGCAAGTACTGTAATGACATACACATTTAAAAATACAAAGTAAATCACTACCTGTTTCAAATATAGGATTAGGTTTATTAGGATGTACCTACTACAGTTTATAATTATCGGATATGAATATTATAATCATAATGATAATAATATCATAAAAAGGAAATTAGATAATGATGTTTCCCGTTATAGAGAAGAGCGGTTCATATTTATGAAATGCACTTATTCCACTGACAAAATCGGAGGTGCAGAAATTGCTCTCCGAGTGCACTCGAGTATTGTCAGTGCAATCAAATCGATTTCAAACACTGCACCAATTCACTGAATTTTGGTCAAATTGAATACTTTTTTGCACTCAGTGCACACCGAGTGCAAAAAGTGAGTCAAATCTACAACGCTATTTTCTGACAACTGCCCAACTACCAATATTTACAAGTTCTTTTTTGAGTACTACTTGATAAAGGCTTAGTAATAAATGATTGGGAATAATCTGAAGAGTCAAAAGAGTCTAAAATATATAATATATATAAGAAAATAATAAATTGATAAAAAAAAATTTTTAGCTAAAAGTTATTTTATGTCAATATGTAAAATAATAGTGAAGTAAAAAATAAAATAATTAAAATACTTATGAAGTACAGTCGATTCCGCTTAATAGAGACACCGGTTAATAAGGACAACCGCTTAATAGGGACAATTCTTCAATTACAAAAACAAATGTATACTTGTAGGGTAAACATTCACCGCTTATCTGGGCCACGAATCCGGATAATTGGGACATTTTTATCGAGTATATTAATAGATCAATAGTTCAACAATCGTGACGGACTCTCGTAATCGATTATTACATTATATTTTATCTTATTTAACTTTATTTTATCTTATCTTTTATCGTATGTTCAAATGTGATATATGTTAAATGTTATTTGGTGCAATGGTGCATCAGTCGTGTTTGTCGCGTGTAGCAACGATGGCTCATGTACGTAAAGATTTATCGTTTGCTCAAAAATTAGAAATTCTGGACAAAATTAAATTACAGCTACCAGGCTGTAATACACGTCGTCTTTCGGAAATTTTACTAGTACCGAAATCAACAGTTTTTTTAAATAAGATAAAATACATAATAAAAAAATAAAAAATATTTATATGTAATTTATATGTAGAGTAGGTAGGGGTAAGATGGCGCACTTTTTTATAAGATGTGTTTAAATAATATAATATTACTTTGTAGTTATAAAAAAAGTTATTTTTATATAGCAAATATTGAATTAATTTGATTTTTTCAATCAAAGTTTTAATATTTTGAATAGTTTAGTTTTAAACATAGAAAACTTAACATAAGTCAAATGCATCATCTTACCCCGAGAGTGGGGTAAGATTGCGCACATGGTGGGGTAAAAGAGCGCGGGCACTTCTTTATTTTAAATTAATTTTCTTACAGAAAATAAATTGTTAAATATTTAACTCACCAATTGTAATAAATATATAATAAATATCTATTTTAATTTTATTTACTTATAATAAAATGTATAATAAGTGAAGACTTTTTAAGAGATATTATGTTGTTATATTTATATTTCAAATTAAAACATATTAAAACAAAACAAAATAAATCATAACTATTGAACAATTGGACTTTGTTCAATTATAATTTATAATAAAACAAATTTTAAATATTAAAATACACCTGTAACAAATTTAACAAGTTATATGTTTAACCAATGAAAAATTATCAATATTTCTGTTCATACATTTTAAAACTAAATAAAACAAATTAAGTAATATATAATATAAAAACAATTTGAACTTTGTTCAATCATAATAAAACAAATTTAAAATATTAAAATACACCTGTAACGAATTTACTAAGTTATAGGTCTAACCAATGAAAAATTATCAATATTTCAGTCCATACATTTTAAAACTAAATAAAACAAATTAAGTAATAGATAACATAAAAACAACTTCAACAAATTAAATACAAATTTTCTTGGTAAATCTATCAGTCCATTTCTTTCTTTAGGAACAAGATTTTAATTACAATATATACAATTAAGGACTATCTAGATACATAAATCACAGACAAAGCTACCATTCTCTTCAATATAAGCACACTCTTCATGCCACCACTTCAAACAATCCTGACACCTAATCCAATTTTCTCTTGGAGGGTCTTCATAAGTCTCAAGACACGCAGGACATTTCACTTCTGAATTATCCTCTGCTGTAGAAGTAGATGGTATAGATGCGGTTCCAGTTTTTTTTCTTTTTGCATGTATTTTGTTTTACATGTTGATCTGCAAATAACTTTTTTCTTATTTTGTTATCCTCTATAGTTCTTTTTTTTTGTTCTTTTTCCTTTTCTGCGTTTTCTAAAGCTTCTTTATATGGAGTACCTGACAGAATTTCAGACCTTTTTCCATTATTTCTACGTTTTCTTTTTTCAGAAATTTTGGGCAATGGGATTATATCAGATGGTGATACGTTGAATTGGTTTGATGTTGGTTCTGCCACTTCTTTATTCTGGTTTAAGTTTTCATTTGCATGACAGTTCTGATTTATTTTTACTGTCATAATATTATTTAAAACATTTATCATCTTTATCATCTTGAGCAATTTCTATTGGCATATCTAAAATGTTCAAATAATCATTGCTAACATTTTGAGAAATAAAGTTTGACCCATCCAAAATGTTATCATTACCATTGTTAATATGTGGTACGAATACATTTTGGTCGGTAACAGAAGAAGGCAAAAAATCATCATCTGTGAATATAAAGGGATTAAGAGGCCAAATACCACACATTTCAAAAGCATTAATTGCTTTTAATACAGTAGAATTTTGACAGTAAGCTGAGCCAAATATTTCACCAACTTGATATAAACTTACTGTCCTTCCTGGATGTGATGTAGTCCATAAATCATAGAAAACCGAATAATGGTCTATTAAAGATTTGAAAAAGCATCTGTCTAAAGGTTGAGTGCGATGGCTTGTATGGGGTGGAATACTAATTAAATGAATAAAATTATCCCTGCAGAAAGTAACAGTCTTTAAATTTACATGAGAACTGTGGTTATCCAAAATCAAAAGAACTGGAGAGTCTATGGAAGGTTTTGTATGCTGTTTGAAATGATCAAGCCACTCAATAAAAAGATCTGAATTTATGTATCCTGAATCAGATAACATACCCAGTGTCTCTGGAGGGGCTCCATTCAAAAATTCTATTTTCATTCTTTTTCTAGGGAAAATTAATGCAGGTGGCACATAAACCCCACTAGCACTAAAGCAACACACAGCTGTTACTAGTTCACCTCTTTCAGCGGCAACTGATTTTCCAACAATCTTTTTACCTCTAATGGATATAACTTTCGGAATTTTATTTGGAACGGTTGAAATACCAGTTTCATCCAAATTAAATATCCTGCTAGGGGGAATATTTAATTTGTTATACACATTTTGTAAATTATCATAAAATCTTTTAATCTG